AGGCCCCTGTTAAGATAAAGCTTGCTTATCTTGACAGGGGCCTGTTTTACATGCTAGGAAACTCTTGGGCATGGACAAAGCTAAATTTATATCATTCAATGTTAAGGGCCTGAATTCTCCGGAAAAACGTGCTGGCATACTCAATGAGCTCTGGAGACTTTGTGCCGATATAGATTTTATTCAGGAAATACATTTCCAAACAGATAAAGCACCCAGATTCTCTAATAATCGTATTCCACTTGGCTATCATGCCACTACCTCGGACTCAAAGACAAAGGGAGTCTCAATCTTGATCTCTAGAACTGCGAGATGGTGCTGTCAGGCCCAGTTAGCTGATGGAAATGGCAGATACCTGTCCCTGAAGGGTGACCAGTGGGGCCGAAGGGTTACGTTAGCGTCATTCTAACTCCCAAACCAGAACCAATTAAATTTCCTGGATGCTTGCATGACCACATTGCGAGAATTCCAGGAGGGGCCTTTGATAGTGGAAGGCGACTTTAATCTAGTACTAGACACCATCCTGGATACATCCAAAGGGATCTCTCATCTGTCCTATTCGAGCCTTCGTAAACTCAAAAAGATGCTTTACACCATGGGACTGATAGATGTGTGGAGGATTCATCACCCCACTGTTAAGGACTTTTCATTCTATTCACCCGTCCACCAATCCTACTCCCGCATCGTCCTTCTGTTGATCTCACAGTCTTTACTCCCTCTCCCTGCATCTTCTTCCATAGGGACATCGGTCCATTCCGACCACGCTCCTATTTCCCTTGCCTCATTCTTGAGCCCCGATGCCTCCCGATCTTGGTCCTGGAGGCTTAACAAAGCCCTCTTAGAAGAGGGCCCTATTTTAGATGACATCACTACCCACTTGAAGTTATTCTTCTAGGAAAATGAAAATCCTAATATCTCTCCTCTGACAGTGTGGGAAACGCATTAATGTGTTCCTCCTTATCCTTATAAGGGCTCTGAACGAAAAAAAGCTTTTGCCGCTAAAACAAACGACTTGCTGCGACAGATCAGAGAATTAGAGACCCTCCATAAGAAGTATCTCGCCCACTCCAACATGGGTGCAAAAATTGAAAAAAGGGCCTCAGTCATGAAGGGGTTAAGTAAACTCACTTCTTTATGAACACAATTATTAGAATTGTCCAAAGGTCAGGCTACCGCCAGATTGATTAAAGTGCGACACACCGTTTACAAATGTCGCAACAAGCCAGGT